CTCACTTCTAGGGTAAATCTCTTTCAGATATTGCACCATTATACAGAACAGGAGAATCCATAGGATATTGACAGGGCACCGTTGGGATGCGTTTTGCACTTCAAGCACTCTCCAGGGCACTCCTCCCTTGCAAGGGATGGGAACTAAAATCCATAGCTTCACTCACCTTGTACTTTACACGTCACACAACTTGCTAGAATGATCAGAGCATTACTTGCTTCACTGATGCACTTCCCACATTTCCCACCTCATCTTAATACAAACACAGTAAAGAATGGATAAAAAACTTGCCCTTAACCAGTGTAAAGAGTCATTTCATGTCACCAGCTGTCACACTGCAAAGAACCAGCAGATATCACTACATGGACCTTTTCTTCTTTCCCCCCAGACCATAAACAATTCCTCCTAAAGTCAAACTGGAGTTACTTCTTTACTACATGAAAAGAATAGAGACTCGAATAATGAAATATAGGATCCCAGATTAATACCTATAAACATTAGCCGTAATTGCAACTGTTGGAACCTAATATAGCTCTGGATTTCATCAGGTTGGTGAATAGCCATCACCAGTCTCTAAAATACATCAACACATCTATTCACAACAGTTTTTTATTACTTGTCTAGGTCTAATCCTGCCACTCTCATCTGGCTGGACTCAAAGTGTTTCACCAGACACTCGAACTGAGCAGGTTTCACTCATCCACACTGCATACTGTCAGCTGCAGGACAGGACACCCGAATGCCCTTAGTTAAAACAGTCTCAGAAACAATGACGACAACTCCTCATTTTTTAGCTGAACCTGTCGTTCACCTTTGCATCAAACAGCTTCAAAAAACAGAAAAAGCTTTTAGTGTACCTTTAAGACAATATTGCCCCTACTTCCTTTTTCATTACCTCTTAGAGTGGAGAACTCTCATATTCATCACTATTCAAACTTGTTTATGATGCCTACATATCTAAAACAGAAAAGCAGAGGCATGCAAGGCACAGGATTGCATAGTACAAGATCTCCAGGTTGCCCTCTAGAAACACAGATTACTGCAAGTGGCAAGGCAGACGAGCCAGGGGTGATCCACAATGACCAGAAGTCTGGCCACGAGAACATCTTCTAATGACAACACATTTACAAAGGCAGGTCTTGCTAAGCAGACAAGCATCACTCTCTTAACCACCTTTGAAAACACCACCTTTGAAGAAAAAACCTCATTAATTCACACTGATTACTACACAGTAGTTTTGGAAGGATACCTACCGTAGTAGGAGGAGAAAACAGTAAGGAGAGCGGGGTAGTGCCATGAGAGAAATTCAATTTTTCTTGTGATGAGAGCCTTTGCCCTCAATCCCACATTCCTTCTCAAATATGTCAGTCTTTTACATCATTATATAGAAATGAATATCACTGAAAAGGAAGGAAGGAAGGAGACACACATGATGTGTATCGTGGTACTGCCCGGTGGGCATAAAAGAAACACACATCAGGCATTTCCTATTCTCTTCCATCCAGTGATATGCATGAATCCTAATACTGCACCAGCACTGAGAACAAATCATTGCGATTAGCCAATAGGTACTGGTTGAACACTGCAGGAGCGTAGCATGGAACCCAATAAGGAAGAATTTCAAATTAAAATCCACTACCCTGCTCATGTGTAGGGTCATGAGCAACAGAGAGACCAGTCCCTTGATCACTCTGACAGGTGGATTTCATCTGCATGAGTGAAGTGATGGGTATGTGCTCTGTAATGAACATGAGCCCAGTGATGTGATGGCAGGGAACCATTGCTAGTTCTATACTACAGGAAGAAGTCTGATTTAGATTACCCCACTTTCTGTCAGTGTTAGATGTGTGAAAATATATGGTCTGGTTCTCCATACACTCACATCAATTTTATCCAGCTGTTCCTATATTTTCAGTGAAAAACCTCCTGATTTATAGTTATTGTAAGTAGGAGGAGGATTAAGACTAAAACATCTCTAGTGAAATAGGTGTTCAAAGAGTTTAGTGAATAATTTGCTATGAATAATTCATTTGAAAAAA